AGGCACGTGTGCACAATCACACACACACATTCTCACACACACGCACACAGACACACACACACACACACACACCAGAGAGACGGCAAGGCAGAGAAGAAAATCCAGTTTTGATGATTATCTTATGTCTAGCCCGTCTTCCAAGCATTAAAACGTGTTATAGAACAATCACTCTCATAACCTGCCCTCAAATGAAAAGATTCTTTAGTCTGAGTTCCTGAAATGATAATTTTTTGTTGCTTTATTTCATCCCAAGGAGACCCAATACTAGACAACGCAGGTGACAGTGTGTTTATTTTGCGTTCTCCTGATGAGAGCAATCCTTGCTGTTATCACTCTGAACAGCGAACTGTAACAGCATCGTAGGTATTTGTATTTGCATCTTACAGTTTATTGTCAACCATGCATTTTTAAAATGTTCATATATTTTATTGAGAAAAATAAAACAGAATAATTTGAAGGAACTGGCTTCTCTGGGGATAAGAAAATATTAACCTTACTTCCCACTATTTTATTTCTCACGTGGAGCTATTAAATTTTGCAACAGAGGTAAATTCTCATTTGTTTATTCGATGGTCCCAAGTAAGTTTCATCTCCTTTACAAATTCTCTAATTTTTCTCATTTTTTTTTCAAAAGCCTACGTGGCAGTGTGATAGGAAGTGTCCTTACAGTGTCTTTGCAGATGAGGACAAATCTCTGTGTTTATAATTTGACCAGAAATTACTTTAATTATAGAACATTGAGAGTAAAATGAAAACCTTTCTAGAATGTTCTTTGTATCCTGATTGGAAAAATACTTTCTTTCCTAGTAATTTTAGTCCCATCTCAACATTTCCCAGTTAAGGATGGAAGCAAGGAAAGACACATGTTTGCCCTGGAGCCAGCTCCTCACCTAATGCGTCCCCTCCCCTAGAGCAGCAGCTGTGGTCAGGGTTGAGTTTGGTCTGTTTCTTAATTCATCCAATCAACTAATCAGACCTCTTGGCATGCACGTTATTACCCTGAGAACTCATCTCGGTTCTGTAGTTCTTCATCTCACACTGGGACAGGATCGGCACTGTCCGAGGGACTGCTGAGGATGAGAGTAAGTGGCAGCTATCCACGCAGGAAAAAGTTCACTCTCTCTTTGTTTAAACTGGACCCCGTGAAGGCTCACTGATAGGGCGTTTGGAATTATGCTGCAGCATGAATTCAACTTTGACTCATTTCTCCCGATCATTTGTAGCATGGGAGGTCACCAAATATGTGGGCAGCCAGGAAAAGAGAACCTTTTCATTTGTTGTTGTTAATTTTTTAATGATTTTTAGATTTTATTTTACGAGCATTGGTGTTTTGCCTTCCTGTTTGTATGTGTGTAGGTGTCAAATCCCCTGGAACTAGAGTTACAGATAATTGTGAATTGCCTTATGGGTGCTGAGAATTGAACCTGGGTCCTCTAGAAGAGCAGCCAGTGCTCTTAACTGCTGAGCCATCTCTCCAGCCCCAAGAACCTTTTATCTATGTGTAATTTGCTACATACAAGTATCTGCTGTCAGAGTAGGCCTTCCATGTCAGCAAGAGGCACATGGCTGGCTGTGTGGCAATTCCCACCAGCAAAAGAACAACGAAACTGCCTGAAAGTGTGGTTTAAAAATTATTCTTTCTACTCCAGACAGCTTAAAAAATGGTCCGTCAAGCCGGGCGTGGAGACTCACACATATAATGCAGCACCTGGAAGGTTAAGGTCAGGGGATTGTCATGAGTTTAAGGCTAATCTGGGCTGCACACTGAGTTCAGGGTTAGCCTGGGCTACAGAGAGAGAACCTGGTAAACAAACAAACAAATAAATAAATAAGGGGGTAGGAAAGAAAGAGGAAGGAGAGAGAAATAAATGACTCCTAATGACATCCTGATATATATAACATGTATATGAGATATGTTATATATATATGTCGTGTGTGTGTGTGTGTGTGTGTGTGTGTGTGTGTGTGTGTGCTTAGATCAGCACCTTGCCCAGCCATCATCAGAGATGTTTCCTCCACCAACAGGTGGGACCAAATACAGATACCCATAACACAGACATTATGGAGAGAGTGAGAGGCCTTGGCACACTCAGCCCTAAAAGGGATGTCTCCATCACATCCCTCCCTTTAGTGCTCAGGGAAACCTGCAGAGGAGGAAGTGCAAAGAGTTTAAGAGTCGGAAAGGATGGAGGACATGAAGGAAACAAGGCCAATCAATATGACAAAAGCTCAAAGGAGCTCACAAAGACTGAAGCAGCATGCAGCGGTCTGACGGCTCCTCTGCCTGTCGACTTAGCTTCGAGTTCCGCGCATTTAACGGGATCCCTGAGGATGACTGAGGGGGCTTCTGATTTTTGGCCTTCTCTTGGACCCTTTTCCATCTGTTTGTTGGGCTTGTCAACTCCAACCTATTTTTGTTTTATCTCACTCTATTTTATTTTATTATTAAAATAAAATAAACTTTCAACCTTTAGGAATCCTAAAACTTAAAAACAGATTAATTTAAGGACATTCTGTATGTTTCTTTTGATTTGCCAAAATGGGATTCTAGAAAAACTACCGGAAAATGCAGACTGATCGTCTTTGCGAAATGTTTTTCTCCAAATAGATCAAGAATGTCTTTCTTTACACCAAGCCTCCTTGTCAATGGAATTGTGCTTGTTGGCTCTCAGAACCCCGGTCAACACAGAACTGAGTGCCGGAGGTCAACCTTTCTAAATGTATCTATTTACTTCTTTCTCAATAATTTCATACCTTAGATGCTAAATTTTAGTTATTTTCACCCATTACCCTCTCTCAGCCCCTCTTTCTTCCCCGTTGAAACACTTGTTCCCAAGAAGCCTCCTTTGTACCTTCATCCCTCTGTTTTAAAGTGACTGTAGAGACTGCTCTTCAATAACGCAGCCGTCACTTTTCAATGAGTCATTTTATGAACATTTGAAGTGTAACGAGAATCTTTTGTCACATATTTTCCCCGAAGTCTGAGATTGAAAAAGAAAGGGATGAAAAAGAATGGTCAGTCTTCGTGTGCTACGGTAATTTGATGATGTTGCAGTTAAAAGGCTGATGCTTAGCCAAACTTTCAGAAGGTCCTAAACCAAAGGGGTTAGTAACTGAAGCTCTCTTTGCCGCAATAAAGGGAAGACAGGCGCCGAAGATGCCTACCTCTTGCTAACCAGTAATCTCGTGTTTTCAAAGCGTTTGTCTGCGTGCAGTTTGGACAGCTATGATTAGGAAAGAGGGCAGAAACACTCCAATTTGATATGGTTTTCCAAAAATTACTCCATAAAAAGGGGAGAGTATATCAAGAGCAGATAGAATCAAAAAGAGAAGAGCCAGTTCTGGATTCTAGAAACTCAAGACTCCTCCATCCTGTGCCAGTGAGGTACATGGTCCGCAGTGTCCCTAACTAGAGTCAGTGTGGAGAGAGACCCCAGCTAAGCCTGAAGCCAGAATTCAGTACCGCGAGCATAAGGGTGAACAGCGACGGAATGTCTCAGAGTCTGGGATTCTTCTTCTGTGTGGGGAAGATTATAAGTGGTTCCCTTCACCTGCTGTGAGCTCACTCCTCCATGTGCCTAGACTAAGGCTGAGAGAGTCCAATCAGCTCTTCTGATGTTGTTTATTAGGGTTATGACACACCTAGGGAAGGGACTGACAAAGCAAATATGCACACAGGATAACAGCAAAGTCACACACTGAGAGGAGGCTCCTGGATACCTGAGTGTAAGACCAGAGAGGGAGAGTGGAGCCCAAAGTTGGAAGGACACTAGGAAACAGACTGTTTCTACTTTGTTTGTTTCTTTCTCTCCTTCCTTCTTTCCTTTCTTTTTTTCCCATATCTTCTTCTTTTACTTAATAGTGACTTTCATCCTCCAGATTCCAATTAATTAGTTTATGGTGTCTCATATTTCAACTTTAAAACTATGTTGTCTCTCATCTTTGACTCATTTCCCCGTGCAGACATTCTCTCAACTAGAATAAGATTCCAGAAATGTTTTGTGTAAGGGGGGGGGGGAAGGTAGATGATTTTTAAATATAAAAAAATACTAAAAGCAATGGACTTACTGAATTGTGCAGATAATCCGCGATTAGCAACTGGTTTTAAGGACAGTAGTATGAAGAGATGATTGGTTTAAAGTTGCCTTAAGAACAACACGGATACAAGAAAGTCCTCTATAATTCTCGAATAATATCCCCACTTAATAGGGTGGCGCCTGGTTCTTCCTAGTCTCAGCCTTCCTTCGTAGCTAAATTGTTTAAAGGCATCAGAAGCAGCCTCGTTCTTGAAAAGTACTGGGATAGCCGAGCAAACTTCTAATTCTGTTGAGGTCCCATCTAGAAAATAATCTAGTGTCTAAACTACGATCCAACATTTGATCACACAGCCCGGAGACTCGCCCATCCTTAGCAGAAGGCATCAGTGATACTTTGCCGTGTCTGAGTTTCTCCGTAGCCACCTGTTTCCATGTGATTGCTTACACTGTGAAGCTGCAGATTACTTTTTGCTAACCTCAGGGCAAGCAATGTTTTTTTTTTTTTTTAAAAAAAAAAAAAAAAACATATTCATGCAGGTTTGTGGGCCTTGTGATCTTCAAAAATATGCCAAAGAGGTGTCAGTTCTCATTTTGATGTTGAAAATGTAATAGGTGAGGTGAGCAGGCCAGCTTCATTGGTTCATCTTATGGCACCACAGTCAATAGTCAGTTCACCCATCTGGGGCCTCTAGTCTCCCCGATTCCTGATCACAGATACGACCCCGTCTTCCGTCTTTATTTCCTAGCATTTAATTGCACTGATGGGTTTGATCTTCATTTCTGTGCAGTCTTCATTAGAAACACTACGAAGTGCTCAGTCTTGCTGCGCTGTAATTAGTGAGCATTTCGGGGTTCTTCATGAACATGAGTAGGGAAGGGAGCTTCTAAAACATGTAAATAGTGTGAACATGCACGCTCTTCTCAAAGCACCAGGTGATTACTTCTAACTTTTACTTTTTTTAGAAAAGAAGAGGCTTATATGGGACCAATAAATTCTGCCAGGTAAGGGACTCTGGTAGCCGGAGCTACGTAGCAGGGATTTGATCTATTTCTTTTTTTCCCCTTATGATCATTTCCCAATGAATCATAATTTTCCCTATCCACAGCCTTTTCTGTGTATATGGAAATAACATGAGCTAAATGGTCTAACCAAGTAACAAGCATTTGGTTACTTAAAATTCACATCTTTCTTCTAACAATTGTTGAAAGCATCCATTTTTAACAACTAAGTACCTATGAACTGCCAATTAAACCTTTTAAAATATTGCTTTGGTGTGTAATTGCATTTCTTCCAATAATTTACCTTAATAGTCTATATATGAAATCATTATTATATACATACATATAATTTTTCATTTGGTGAATTAAACTATTTGATATTATAGGTCTTCATGAGACTGTCTTTACTAATCTAGGATCCGTAATTTATTCTGGAGATTACTGTATGAATGACAGAAGAATCATCACTGTTGTGTAACTTTAGGAGATGGAAACACCCCCTCAGCCCAGTTGCAGAGGAATAGATTCTGTCCAAGTGTATTGTCCCAGTTCTGTCAATGAGTATATTGGGGTTATTTACAGGAGTGTGCATGACTCAAAGGTTAGCCAGACTACCAGGAAGTCTGGTAGGCAACATACAGGCATCTAGGCCACTGAGGAAGTCCTTCCTGAAGCACGGACAGCTCATATAAACTGCACTGCTGACGAGGCGCCTGGGCTGCTTGCACGTAACGTCACAATCAATGCAGCCCCTGTAGGCTACTGCTTATTCCTTATGTAACCTCATGGGAGGGAGAAACCTCAGGCAGGACAGCATGGAGGCCCAAGCCCCATAAGCCTCACGAGCCCTGTTGGCTCTCCCTCCCTCCGATAGGGATCGCAGCAGCTCTGATTCGGTGTGCTGTCAATCACAGGCAACCCAGAGGAAGCAGCCTCACCACAACCGTCGATTTCCTCAACATAGCGCATTCTAACTATGCAAGGGCCGTCCCACGAGTAACACAAACAAGCAGGCAAACAAAAAGTCTATCTGGTGGCAATTATTCTCACCTAACTCCTTAGAATATTGCCAGAAGACATAAAGCAAAACTTCAGAATATTATCACCTTCTACTCTTTTAAAAATCTGAAGACCTTGTTTTATGATGCTCAGACTGGCAACTGGAGCATCTATACCCCCTTTTAGAGTTTCATTTTCATTAAATCATGTCCGACAAATAACATCTGAATTAAAAACTGTAATTATAGCTGTTTTAGACTCTCTGTTGCTGAGACAAATACTGGAGGAAACAGGGGAGGAGGATGTATTGCCATTTTTCATCTTTTTATCCAAAATACAAAAGGAAACACAAGTTTTAAAAAATGCAACTTTATCTAGATCACAGTTTCAGAGGTTTTTTGCTTTTGTTTTTTTCAACAGGCTGTGTTTATTCTGGTCCTGTGATGAGGCAGAACACTGTGGTGTTGTCCAGGCAGATAGGAAGCAGGCTGTGAGGGAGGGAGCAGGAGCCAGGTACAGCCTTCAGCAGCGTGTGCCCAGCGGTCTGCTTCCTCCGAGTAGGCCCAACCTCCCCCAGGTTCACCTGTCTGTCTTCTTAACACCACCAGGGAATGATCCATCTGCCATAGAGCCCCTGTGGGGCACTTCCTGTCCAAGCCATAGGAAGAGAGATTCCCCTGGGTTTCAGTCTGTTACGCCAGGGATGGTGTGACGACCTGAGCAGCTGAATCATCAAGGGCAGAGAGAAGAACACAGGCTTTCCTCCCTTCAGATGGATCCTCCCTGCTGATCCTCCCCGGAACAGGCTTGCAGACACACCCAGAGGTGTGCTCCACTAACCTCCTGGTGTCTCTCAATCCTGACCGGCACTCAGGATTTACCCTCAAAATAGACATCTAAGTGAAAGTTAAAAGGGATGTAACAAGAGGAAAACATGGGTGTTCTCTGAGAATTCATATAAGGAAATGAATCATTTTCAGTAGAAAATAGAGCATCTTTCTAAGGGAGAGACATAGGGGCAAGATTGTGACATGGCGAGCTGCAAGCAGCTCCATTGAAGGCAGCAGGGAACAAGAACGCTGTTAAAACTGCTGCTCCAGGAGTGGTATAGCTGGATCTTGAGGAAGCGCCAGATTGATTTCCAGAGTGGTTGTACAAGTTTACATTCCCACCAGCAATGGAGGAGGGTGCCCCTTTCTCCACAACCTCTCCAGCATGTGTTGTCACTTAAGTAAGGTAAAATCTCAGGGTCGTTTTGGCTTGCATTTCCCTGATGGCTAATGAGGTTGAGCATTTCTTTAGGTGTTTCTCTGCCATTCGATATTCCTCTACAGAGAATTCTCTGTTTAGCTCTGTTCCCCATTTTTTAAGTGGATTACTTGGTTTGCTGCTTTTCAGCTTCTTTAGTTCTTTATATATACTGGATATTAGCCCTCTGTCAGATAGAGATTTGGTGAAGATTCTTTCGCAATCTGTAGGCATTCATTTTGTTTTGATGACAGTGTCCTTTGCTTTACAGAAGCTTTTCAGTTTCATGAGGTCCCATTTATTAATTGTTGCTCTTATTTATTTATTAATTGAGCCTGTGCTGTTGGTGTTCTGTTCAGGAAGTTCTCTCCTGTACCAATGAGTTCAAGGCTTTTCCCCACTTTTTCTTCTAACTGATTTAATGTGTCTGGTTTTATGTTGAGGTCTTTGATCCACTTGGACTTTAGTTTTGTGCAGAGTGATAAGTATGGATCTATTTGCAGTTTTCTACATGTAGACATCCAGTTAGACCAGCACCATTTGTTGAAGATGCTATCTTTTTTTCCATTGTATGGTTTTGGCATCTTTGTCCATTTGCTCAACCATGTTTGTAGCAGGTTTATTTGTAATAGCCTAGAAGCTGGAAACAATCCAGATGCCCCTCAACTGAAGAATGGATACAGAAATTGTGGTATATTTACACAATGGAATATTACTCAGCAATAAAAAAAAAAAAAAAAAACAAAGACAAGGAAATCATGAAATATGCAGGTAAATGGTGGGAACTGGAAAAGATCATCCTGAGTGAGCTATCCCAGAAGCAGAAAGACACACATGGTATATACTCACTCACATAGACATATAATATAGGATAAACCTACTAAAATCTGTACACCTAAAGAAACTAATCAAGAGGGAGGACTCTGGCATGCTCAATCCCCATCCCGAAAGGCAAAGAGAATGGATATCAGAAGAAGAAGAAAACAGAAAACAAGTTAGGAGCCTGCCATAGAAGGTCTCTGAAAGGCTCTGCCCTGCAGACTATCAAAGCAAATGCTGAGACTTATGGCCAACTGTGGGGCAGAGTGCATGGAATCTTATGAAAGAAGTGGGAAATAGAGGACAGGAGCTCCACAAGGAGAGCAACAGAACCAAAAAAATCTGAGCACAGGGGTCTTTCCTAAGACTCATACTCCAACCAAGGACCATGCATCGTGATAACCTAGAACCCCTGCACAGATGTAGCCCAGGGCAGTTCAGTGTCCAAGTGGGTTCCATAGTAATGGGATGAAGGATTGTCTCTGACATGAACTGATTGGCCTGCTTGTTGATCACCTCCCCCTGAGGGGGGAGCAGCCTTATCAGGCCACAGAGGAAGACAATGCAGCCACTCCTGATGAGATCTGAGAGACTAGGATCAGAAGGAAGGAGAGGAAGACCTCCCCTATCAGTGGACTTGGGAAGGGACATTTTTGGAGAAGAGGGAGGGAAGGTGTGATTGGGAGGGGAGGAGAGAGGGGTTTATGGGGGGATACAAAGTGAATAAAGTGTAATTATTAAAAAAAAAACAAAAACAAAAACAAAAACAAAAACAAAAATGCTGTTCCAATTGAACTGACTTTGTGAAGAAATCCATGCTCTGCCACAGCCCAGTAGCCAAATCCTGTACCACTGTCTTACAGGGACCCCTTGGCCCCATAACCTGCTTTGGGAGGTAAGAGGCTGGGAACTTTTCTGCCTCTTTGTTTGCAGTGTTCAGCCATGATTTACCTACCCTTCGGGACAGAGAATAGGAAGCAATGTTTTGAGGCTGATGAGGTATAGATGTCAGATTTGAGCAAGATACGATTGTATTAGGAGTCCTTTGAAAAATAATTTAGGAGGAGCATTTATATTCAAGGATTGTTAGATCCAGCCCTAATCATCTTGTTTTGATAAAAGTTTTAAACTGGAATATTTTAGGCTTATAGCTTCTGTGTGCTTCTGTGTCATACCATAGGGAAAGCCAGCACACATGATTTATTTTAAGCAATGAAGTTTTTATTTTTTTTAATTTTTTATTTTTATTAATTACACTTTATTCACTTTGTATCCCCCATAAGCCCCTCCCTCCTCCCTTCCCGATCCCAACCTCCCTCCCCCTTCTTCACGCATGCCCCTCCCCAAGTCTACTGATAGGGGAGGTCCTCTTCTCCTTCCTTCTGATCTTAGTCTATCAGATCACATCAGGAGTGGCTGCATTGTCATCATCTGTGGCCTGGTAAGGCTGCTCCCCCCTCAGGGGGAGGTGATCAAAGAGCAGTTTTTATTTTTAAGGTTAATTTTCAATATATTTTTAATTAGTCATAGGTAAAAATGTACAGTCTGTGGTTTAATGGATATTATTATTTATGATTTTAAAAGCACCTTGCTAAAGATGAAGTATTAGTGTAGACGTATAGCAAAGATGAGCAAAGCGGCATGCATGAATTAGAGTTTGGTAGATATCTGTATCATTTTATCCGTTGTGTTTCACACATTACTGGATGGAAAGTATTTTACACAGACTGAAAATAAAAACTATCAAGATAAAAGGCTCTTTTGATACTTTGAATATTTGGGGATTTAAATAACTGCTAATTAGGTTGGTCTGCTTTATTTTTAAGCCTAATACAAATTGGTAGGCTAATATGTCCATTGGAGCCATCAGGAAGTGTTTAGATACACACATCTGCAAATAAAAGAAATATCTCATGTTTTCTTTCATGGCATTTGAGGATTTGCTTTGCTCACCAGTGACTCTTTTTTTTTTTTTTTTTTTTAGCTTAGTTCTGTTTCATCTAATTCTCATGCAATAAAATTCAAGGACTGTGGATGTAGGACAGTGATAACACTTGCCCAGCATGCAAGAGCCTCTAGGTTAGGATGTGAGTGAGACCTTTTTTCCCAACCCAGAAAACGTACGTTTACACCGCCATCTGTTTCTATAGCGGCGACTCATTTACGATCATATCTCCCAGCTCTTAAACATGTACCAGAAATTGGCTAATTCTAATAATTTTAATTTTTTTAGTTTTGGAGAGTTTTATATCTGAGTACACTGTGTTTGTCTGGTTTCTAACTTTGTCCTCACCATCTTGTCCAGTGCTCCCTATCCCTTCTCAGACTCATTACGTCTTCTCCTATAATTATCATTGTGTTTTATATACATACGTATTCACGTGTGTCTTCTATTATTGTATGTGGTATCTATATCAATAATTCTGCCTTCTTTCTTGCTGTATGTACGTTCCCCCAAGTGCTAATTTTATACTTTGTTGATTTATAACCGTGATCAGGGATGGTATTTCTTCTCTCTCAAATGTCATCAGCTTATCCAAAGTTAAACCCCGAGCTAGGGAGATTTCCTGGTTGGTGGTGTCAGCTGATCTGTCCTTGTTTGAGTCACACCTGTTGATGGTTAATTCTTCGCTAGTCATCTGCATTGTTTGTGACCTTCCAGTTGTCTGATGTTGTGGCTTGAGGGATTAGTTTCTGGGGTACACAAGAGAATCATCACTTAGTCTCTTTTCATCTGCTCTGCAGATAGAATTGCTTCTTTTTCTAGGTGTGATGACTCTGCACTAGGCCTTTTTCTGTGGCTGAAGACTTTCATTACTGTATATTTTCTCCAAATATGTATGTTTTATACGGAAGCCAAAAGGAATCACAGGCTATAAATTGAAACCTTGCTTGATTAATATTTAAACAAGGATTGCATATTAACCAGTCTCTTACACGCACCTGAGCATTCATTTGTAATATACTTTCTGATACAGTGACTTTCAATCCATATGACGGGAAAGCTAATAAATTATCTTAAAATAAAGATGCACACTTTCTGTTCTGTAAGAAGAGCCTGACATTTACAACTTTGTTGTAAATCAAAACTTAAGAAGTTAAATACATCTGTGGTAACTGTCACTGAGGTCATTCAAGACCATCCTGAGTATTATCGCTCCCGTCGATGAAAACATTAACAGCTTAATTGTAATCCTAATACGTGGATCTCTGTTCTTCGGGCAGTACGGCTCCTTAACATTTCTCATGCCTCCTTTTCGATACTAGAGTGAGAGGCAGGCAGTGATTCTCTTGTGGTCCTTTTGTGTTATGGCTTCAAACAGGTTTGTTTTGCTTTTGTTTTTATTCTTGATTCCCAGAGACAGGAATGTTCCTGATGAGTGAGACTCCCTAATAGCCTCATTTGGGAACTAAGAGTTAAACCCTTTATAGGAGTTACTCTGCTCCTCTCATTTGCCCACAGTGCTGTCTTTTCTTTGAAGATAATTTTGACTTTCTGTTCTCGATCGTTTGCTCTTCAGATGGACCCTGTACAGAAGGCTGTCATTAACCACACGTTTGGAGCCTCCATTCCCCCCAAGAAGAAACAAGTTATTTCTTGCAATGTCTGCCAGCTTCGCTTTAACTCGGACGTGAGTATCGCCTTTTTATTGCTCTCTGAAGTGTGTCGGGCTGATGCTGATTGGTGTGAATACAAATAAGTCTCTCCATGTTTGTGTGCCCTGCGGCATCTCAGCTCAGGTCCCTCCTGGTAGTCCACACGCTCCAGAGTGTCCATTTTCCAAGCAACTTAGATTCAGTGCTTCAAATCTGAGCAACAGGGCAAGTGGTTGATGATAAAAATTGAGACATTCTCCGCACAGTCCGCCTCACCTGTACTGTTCTATACTTGATCCCAGCAATTCCATTTGCTTGCAAAGATACTTGAAAATGTGAAAAAATCCAGTGAATGAAGAAGACCACTGTTATTTTTTTGAGAAGAACTCACACATTTCATGCATTGTTCAGTCTTAGTAAATATCCCAAAGCATGACATATCATACAAGTTATGTTTCCATTTCAGAGAAACGTAGGAAAAATTTTATTATAACGAGCCAACATGGACATTCTTCAAAAAGGATACCAAGAGAATGGTAACATCCAAGTAGATTTTGAAGTGTATAAAAAAAAAATAAAAAGCAAAAATAAATAACTGTAGAAATCTGATAATGTTTAACTGCCAGATAAAACCAGCTATGCTGCAGAGTCTGGGTACCGTATCTGGCCGTGGAACTTCCTGAGTTTCTGAACTCAGAAGCCATTTTGCAAAGAGTATACCACAGATTTAATGTGCTTTCAGAAATGGAAAAATAACAGATATCCTTCACATATACCATCAAGTGACATTTTCATAATTCTGCACAGTTAAGGCAATGAAATTTCACTCACTGGAAAAGAAGAGAAGTTGGTCATGATTTGAACAATTATATTTAGTGTGATTTCAACCAAGGTCTAATGAATGTTTAGAACCTCATAAAATTCCACAGTGAAGAATTGAAATGCACCTAAATAAAGAGAAAACAGGATGTTAATTCATTAGACAACCCAGTGTCATTGTGCTACCAGCTCTTCCTGTCAAGACAGCAGAATGAACACCCAAATCTTCTATTTTGTTAAAAATCACCTACTTCTCAGAGTTCACATACGAAAAAAGAAAAAAAAAATAGGAGTGTAAATGTTGAAGGTTTATACTTCCTGATTTCATTACTTACTGTAAAACCTACAATAATCAAGGTATATTGAAAACTCACTCCATCTTGGGGCAGGACAGATGACTCAGCAATGGAAAGTACTAATTTGCTTTGCGTTGCAGTCCCAGCACCATCCCTAACTCCAGTTTCCGGGGACCTGGCGTCCTCTGCTGGCCGCCGTTGGTACTGCACTCACAGTGCACCTGCTTCCGTGCAGGCAAAACAGGCCTATTCATAAAGTTAGATCAATCTTCTTTAAGTTCTCATCCAGTTCAGCACCTCAAGCCACGCTTGCCACTCCTAATTGTCATCAACACGTTTCTGCTTTTTATATAACCTTCCAGAGCTTGTTTGTGGAACAGTAACTAAATGTGAGTATATGTTTTTCTTTTTCTTACGTAGAGAGTAATATACACTCTTCCCTGCCTTGTTTGTTTTTATTGTGATCATGCATGTGTATTATTTTGCCTCAGTCTCTTTTTTTTTTTTTTTAAACATTTTGAGATTGATTTTTATTTCATATGCCTTGGTGTTCTGCCTGCATGTATATCTGGATGAGGGTGTCAGATCCCCTGGAACTGGAGTTACAGACAGTTGTGAGCTGCCATTCGGGTGTTGGGAATTGAACCCAGGTCCTCTGGCAGAGCAGCTAGTGCTCTTAGCCTCTGTGCTATCTCTCCAGCCCCGCCCTCTTTTTCTTGTGACAGGGTCTCTCACTAAATCTAGAGTTCATCTTTTCAGCTAGATTACCCGGCCAATGAGCCCCGGAGAGCTGATTGTCTCTGCTCCCCGGCACATGGCCACCACACCTGGCTCTTACACGGATGCTCGCCTCCTCATGCTTTCAGGACAAACACTTCGCCATTGAGCCACCTCCTGCCCTATGCTTCCCCCACTACACTGCTTTCCTGAGAAGCTGCTCTGTGAATGGGGAGCTTCCTTGACCCTTTTATTTGCAAATACAGTTGACAAAGACGCTTACGTCCTAAAAACCCTCAGTCCTAATAAGATGCAATTACTTCACAGAGGGGAAGTGAGTGAGCAGACAGAGTTGAAGGTGGCACCCTCCCTCATCCACTTCCATCTTGTGTGGCCAGTGCACAAGGCTCCTTAAAGAGGGAAGCGGAAGGCAGAAGAAACCGTCATTAACAGTTCACTGTAGGAAGAATTTGATTGCTCGCTAATGGCTTTGAAGTTAAAGGAAGGTGCCAGGGCTGTTCACCAGCTCTAGAAGCTCCACCAGGGAAGTCAAAAGGTGTTAGCCCAGAAAGACGCACATCCCCTTTCTGGAGTCCAGCTACATGGCAGTAAACTCACGTTGCTCTTAGCTTATGCTCTTTCCTGTGAACACAGGAGAAAGCCACATCATCAGATCTGTGAACATGACCCACGGGCTGTTCACGGAGTGCCCATTAGCAGTGTGGGCGTGCCGAGTCGGTGAGCATGGAGGCTCTGCCCCGCTCGTGAGCATTGCATACACTTTCACAGTCAGAACACAACAGAACCAGGGCGTAAGTCCGGGTGCCTCTCCTCTAAGCCTGCAGCTGTGCCTACAGAACTATTTCCTGTCATTCGCCTTTTCTCTATGGGTTAGTCGAGCCCCTCTTGGAAAACGGTGGGAGGTGGGACGTTTGGAGGAAGCAGCTTTCGCCAGCCAATGACATAACGCGGCTGTCTGGGTCTGTCTTCACACAGCGAAACTAGAACATCTTGGGCCTTCTGCTCAGTCAGAGTCCTCGCATGGGGACACACACCACTGATCCCACGCTTAGGAAGCAGAGGGAGAGGTGGTCTACATAGTGGGTTCCAGGACAAACTGGCTGCGTAGACCCTGTCTCCAAATTTAAAATTAAATAAAGAAATGGTTCTTGAACACAGGTTTAAGTTCTGGTTCTGAACTTGAGACGTGATACTAACACTGTTGGCCTTAGTTTTCCCCTCTATGATAGGAACTAAAATGGACCAGTCTAGCTCTGTGATTAAAAATAATTTTCATGGTATTGCCATCAGCAGAACAGGACATAAGCGCAACTGTCTTACAGATAGGACAGCTCAGAATTCTGCTTTCTGTTGTGTCTGGGAAGCCAGGTGTGCTGGCCTGCCCCTGCAATCCCAGAACCCAGGAGGCTGAGGCAGGAGGCAGGCGTTGATGGCCAGCCTTGCCTATGGAGTGACTGTGAGGCCCGGACGACATAGGACCTTGTTTGAAAAGCCAAACTACACAAAACCAAGAAAACCAGAAACTCATCTGTTCCTTGGGACGTTTGAGGGGAGGAGTGAGAGGTTTTTTTCTCTCTATTGTCCAGAACTTCTCATCCCTTTGGGTTGAGCTCACCAGCCTCCATTTTGTCTCTGAGTGCACAGATATGGACAGGGGCAGCTGCCCCTTCGTCAGCAGCTGACCACCAGCTCCCCATGGAGAGCAGAGAAAGGAATGAGATTTCTGAGTCACGCTTAGATTCTAGGCAATAAGACCACAAAAATCTGGATGGCAAGTTCAGAAATGTGACATACATGTTCCCAGTGTTTAGTAGCAGTACCATAATCTGCATAACTGAGCTTTCTAACTGAGCATTTTTTATTGGGGAGAAAGTTTATTATTTTATAATTACCCTATTTACATTTTAATGCAAGAATTAAGAAGATGCTCGCCCTTATTTCCTTTAATAACATTTCTAAATCAGCCAGACACTGAATTGGCTTCACTCTTCAGTGTAGAAAATATGTTTATTGAAAGATCTGGAAGGCAAATTTGCACAGTAAACAGACCGCACTGCACGGTTCCCTGTAACCCACATAAAACATTCCAGGGTAGGCCTCGCGCAGTAAAACTCAGGAGCGACCTAGTTTAAGCGCTCCGCAGCCCACTTTGTCCAGCTTTTATCATCTCAGTAGAACTCCACTGTTGGAAAGCGAAAGGCTACAGCTTTATTTACACAATGCAGCCTCATGTAAATGAGCGAGCATTAATCACAAACATTTCCCAAGTGAGCCTTTACAAATTGACACCATTGACTTTGCCAGAGGCAGGCACTGCAGTCCAGGAATAATACACTTTCCAAAAGAGTCCTGGACCTTTGCACAGATATGTGCAGTGCCAATTCCTCCTTTCTTCTTTTTCGTCTTTGTTTTTTTTTTTTTTAAATCCTAACCTAGGGTAAGCCAAAATTAGGTTGTTATGAGCCTCCATGTTCCTTTGCTCATCCACAAATGAGTGCTCTATAACTGTAGGATGGTCGTAAATTGGAGAGCCTGAGTAGGAATCTTTACCTATTAGCTGCAAAGTGCCATCTCCAGAGATGAGCCCCGTCAGGGAAATGAGCTAGCAGACACTTCAAAAGCCTTGAGGCAAGCATTCTTTCTCTTTTTTGGCTAGGTTGGAAGTTGAGAGATCACAAATAATTTTTAATTTGCATATTAATTTCAGTTCCTCAGAGGCTAGCAGTAAAAGGATCAAGAAAATACAGATGCAGTTTTATATAAGATTAGAGCAGGGAAACTTGGGTTTTTTAAGTGTTCAAAAACAGATGACATCATTACCGCCATCATTATCATCATGTCAGAAAACAGATCACTGTGAAAGGATCTTCATCCCACCTGGATCCCCAAGCTTCGTAGGGAAACAGGAACAAGAGCATAGTGATCTGAGTTTTGCAGACTGTAGATCAGGAATCGACTGTAAAAATTTGGAATTCATCGTGAAAGCCCAAATTATGAAGCATTATGCTAATGCCATGGGAGTTCATTACCAACACAGAGCTAACCCATCTGCCTCACAAAACCTGCATCACTACGTTTTGAATATCATCCTAACTTTGAACCCCATCGCAGTCCACATTCTCCTCATTTTATTTTACTTCTGACATTTGTAGGCTGGTGAGGTTCATTGACATTGTCCTGTC